TTAAGCTGGCGTAACAATTTAACTTACAGGCTGTAATTCCACTTGGATTTGAGAATTTGTTAAGCTGGCGTAACATTTTCCTTCATCTAATGAAAAATGATTTTTTTATTTTGTTAAGCCGGCGTAACAAATTAACTTACAGTTTGAAATTTTGCTGCTGTAATTCCACTTGGATTTGAGAATTTGTTAAGCCGGCGTAACATTTTTTCTTCATCTAATGGAAATTATTTATCTTACAATTTAAATTATTTTCCATTTTGTTAAGCAGGCATAACAGTTTTGTCTCACAGTTTTGAAATTTTCTTTGAAATATTTATTTGATTTGAGAAATTGTTAAGCCGGCGTAACATTTTTTCTTCATCTAATGAAAATGATTTTTTGATTTTGTTAAGCTGGCGTAACAAATTAACTTACAGTTTGAAATTTTGTGCTGTAATACAACTTGGATTTGAGAATTTGTTAAGCCGGCGTAACATTTTTCTTCATCTAATGAAAATGATTTTTTGATTTTGTTAAGCCGGCGTAACAATTCAACTTACAGTTTTGAAATTTTGTGCTGTAATACAACTTGGATTTGAGAATTTGTTAAGCCGGCGTAACATTTTTCTTCATCTAATGAAAATGATTTTTTTGATTTTGTTAAGCCGGCGTAACATTCAACTTACAGTTTGAAATTTTGTGCTGTAATACAACTTGGATTTGAGAATTTGTTAAGCCGGCGTAACATTTTTCTTCATTTAATGAAAATGATTTTTTTATTTTGTTAAGCCGGCGTAACAATTAACTTACAGTTATGTCAATTAAATCACTGTTAATTAAAAGATACAAATACATTAATGCTGATTTTTTGCTTGTCTTTGTTCTTTTCTTTCTCAAAAATGGTAAAAAGGGCATCCTTTTTGTAGTGTAATTTGGCCATAATTGGTACGTGAATTGGGAAATGAAGTGGACATTCCCTTTTTAAAATAGAAATGGTTTTATGATAACTTGTCAAGGAGTTCTTGTTATAACTGTCACGGAGTTCGACGGAAAACTATTGTATATGATGCAAAAACACTAGTCATAAATGGTAATTTTCATCTTTAAAATGTGAATTTCATGTGCTTAATTAAACTTTAATGATGAATCTTGCCTTACATATTGTATTATTTGTCAAAAACTAGTTCATAGTCCATTTTTCATCGTCTCTTGCTTAACATCTCGTAGTTTTGAGTAAATTTTTTTTAAATTCTTGCCCAATTCGCAGTATTGACCTGTTTATTTCAAATCATCATCCTTGCCATAAATGATTCCCTAATTATAATTGCAAAATTGCTAACATAAAAGCTCCGCCTAACAAATTTATACCCGATTTTTCCAAAAATGTTCCAGAGTTCTTGTGATATTAACACAAAATATGTCCACGAGTTCTTATGATCACTTTTGTTATTGCCAGTGTGTTTCTTTTGTTAAATCACGGCACGTTTTAGCGTTTGTTATTATTCAATAAGGTTGTAAATCATTATGAAATTATATATTACTGAGATATCTTATCCCCGTTTCTTTTTTGGATATTTTTGCTGACGAAAATTTCGTAGACTGGAAAATGGATTGATGTAGAGCATTGACTTTCATGATAAAATGCGCTTAAGTATGGTGTTTTCATGTATATTTTTCTGCCGATGTTTGATGGTATTTCCCATATGTAAACTTAGTGAAGGAAACTCTGTTAATTTTGCAGTAATTAATAACAAAAACTTATTTCGCTCGAACCCGGAGGGACTTGCAAATTTGTTCGAGAGATCGGTAGTTATAGAGCCAACCGCAGTTGAGTTGTTTTCATATTGTCGTACTTTTGGAAACAAGGTTTGAAGAAATTATCCTGGTTTTATACATGTACTTGTTTATTATGGTATAAAATGATACAAATTACTTAGCCCTTAGATAATCGATGCACAACTATATATTATCTGCTTAAGAAAGATGGTTGAGAACAACGTGCAAGTTTTGAGACATTTTTGTTTTGTGGTTTAGACTATGATACTGCCGCAGATTCAATCTTTACTGTAGATGATAGTCTATCACCTGTTTATCCTTTGCAGACACTCAAGACCAACATTTTATCCACATTTTTGTGCAAAGGATGAGCGTATTATATTTCATAAGTATTTACAACCTTATTGAATAATAAAAAACGCTAAAACGTGCCGTGATTTAGCGCAAGAAACACATTTGCAGTAACAAAGGTTATCATAAGAACTCCAAGACATATTTTGAGGTATCACAACAACTCCGGGACATTTGGAAATTCGGGTATAAATTTATTACCCGGGGCTTTATGTTTGCAATTTTGCATAATAAGGTAATTATGTATGAAAAGGATGAAGACCTGAAATAAACAGGTCATTACTTGCGAATTGGCAAAAAAATTGGATATTTTACTCAAAACTACGAGATTTTAAGCAAGAGGCGATGAAAAATGGACTATGAATTAGTTTTGGACACATAATACAATATGTAAGGCAAGCTTAATCGTTAACGTTTAATTAAGCATCTAAAACTCACTTTCTAAAGATGAAAATAACCATTTGCAGTATATACAATAGTTTTCCGACGACAGTTATCACAAGAACTCCTTGACAAGTTATCATAAGAACTCCATCCCTCGTGTACATGTAACACTTCCTCCCCTGTGATTATATACCAGTTCATTTTTAAAACTCGTGTATTTTCTTAATTTTTCTTCCCCCACCCACCCTTATACTGATAACATTGTGTTTTATTCTTGGCAAATTATGACAATATTGTTGAACAAAGGCAAACAGACAGACATATAAACTCCAAATTGAATACACAGAAACGAAGAAACGATTGAACTTTACAGTAAGAACATCGAATCGTATCTTAAAGATACACTATGCTCATCCTTGAGTTAAATATTTTAATCAAAGAAATTTATTGAAATGTATGAAATTCTTATTGCATATGTCTTATTTGAATAAAATAATATATAAACTGCATGAGAAGCTGTGTTCCCTATTACAGGTCAAGTAAAGTTTGTCTTTTCTTAAAAAAAAAACTGCCAGTTTTTTAATGATACAGTAACTATATATTCATATTGTGACCACATATGTGAAGAACTTTAAACATAACATATCTACTTTGTGTGAAGTCAAAACGTGTTTATTTAATATTTACAAACAGACTGTATTGCGTTTATCAATATTTTCAAATATCAAATTTGATCATAGTATATCTTTAAAATGATTTATTTTCGTGTAAGTTTTTATGTCTTTGAAAAAAATGCCGCATCTTATCGGAAAGTATGGTTATTTTCAGTCAAAATTCACGTAAAGTAAAGCTTGCACAGGGGTAGAAATGTGTTAGCATGCTCCTTTGGATGTTGACTATGAATTCATAACATTGATTTACTCGAACACAGTTGGGATATGTCAAAAATAGATAAATACTTACTGTCCGTCATTCTTTTTACACCGAAATGTATATACTAGTACGGTTGTCGACGGTTGAACGGTTGTCTGCCCATTTGATTGTACGGTATGGTAAGGATAACCATAGGTTATTATGTAACCAATTTAGTGCACATGCATTTTGTTATCATTTGCGTATGATTACGTTTTAGCTATTTAACTTAAATAGCCTTATCGGGGATGCATACCCTTGCTTAATACCAATATGGTAATTTTGTGTTAGAAGAAGTATTCGCGGGCAGGTAAAAATGCAATATGGTTCTAAATTTAACAAGAAAGCAAATATTTGCCAATTTTCTATTTCAACCCTTTGAAATAATCACTACCTACAGAAAATACAAAGATTTCAGGCGTTTACTCCATTTGGATTCAAAGTACAACATTGTTTTTTTTATGTATACCTTTCAATAACTGAAAAATGGCCGACACAAGTCCATTTACAATCATGTAGCGATGATCTGCGAGCAGTTTTTAGTCTACGTGAAGAAGAAAAGGTTACAGGGTGCCAAGTCTGGAGAATACGGGATGTTCAATTGCAGTCACTCGTTTTTTTTCCGACAACTATCAATTACTATAGCACCTCTGTGAACAGGAGCATTGTAATGCAAAAATACTGGCATTTTGAACCAGTCATGGACCGGACTTTATTGAAGTGTTTTTCATGTTTCTTTACATTCATCAGATCCATTTTTTTCCGCTTAAAATGTTTCTGTTATCATACTCTAACAACATGACGAGTTTAAAAAAAATTATAGAACAGTTTTAGTTTTGCCTTTATGTCTAGTATATGAAAACTCTCGAAAACGTTCTTTAAGTTTTTATTGTTTTTGTTTTACAAATATATGCATGCAAATTAAATATATATATATAATAATAGTTATAAACCTACAAGTAGTTTCTCGAAATTAATGTCACCAACTATGAAAATTTCAAGTTTGTTGTTGTTGTTTTGTTGTTTTTATTTTCGTTATTTGTTTTATGCTCTGGTTTAATTTTTGATTGTTTTATCAATACGTTTTTTCCGATATTTTTTTAAAGTGAAAATTCCAATTCCCATTTTTTTTCATTTATTATATAACAATTTTTAAACGGAAAACCAAGTTTTATTTCTTTTTTTCCCACTTTGGATAACTTACCCAATGGGCCCCCCTTTCCTACCCTTTTAAAAATGGGTTATTTCCCCTTGTATTAATGAAACGTTTAAAATTTAAAATTAAAAAAAAAAATTGTTTTTGTGGTTTTAAGGGATTAGGCTAAATTTTTTCCAAATTTTTAAAAGATACCCCAAAATTTTGGACCGTATCAATTTAAAAAATTAAATATCCCCATTGTGAATATGTGAAATGTGACTCAAGACTCCAAACCTTTAAAGAATTGCATTTTATTAACTTGGCATGTGTCAGTCTTTTCTATAAATAGAAAATGAGGTAATGTGAATATAGCGTGCGCATACTTTATCACGTTCAGCGCTGATTGGATAAAGAAATGTACGTCATTAAGACTTTATAATCTATTTCAAAATACTTAGGCAGATTTAATTTAGTATTAAAGATGAGTTCTTCGAGTGATAACACCTTACGTTTCTTACTTTATTTATTTTTAATATCGATATTATTTACTTTCATTTCCTCGGCTGAAAAATCAAAATGTTTACCAACAGAAGGCAAAAAGTGGAATTATAAAAAACAAAAATGTGTAGAGTGTCCGGAATGTGGTCCAGGTTCATTCAGAAATCTTAGTGAACAGGTGAGTTAACTTGTTTTATATATTGTTTCTTTAACATTCATGTACGCTATATTCTACATTTTCTTATGTTTCATTATGTTGTTAAACTGTTTAAGTAAGTGTTGGGAGTATAACAAACCTTACATGTGACTATTAATTCAATAAATGTTTTCTTACGCATGGGTGCGACGAATTCAAAACACGCTTAACGTAGTATAAAGAAAGGTATGTATAACGCTGTATATTATAGAGCGTCATTAACTTCAAACAGCTATGACTGTCTGATGATGGACCATCCTCAATGTATTGTAATCATCAGTTTTTATGAGGTTTTAATTGTGCGTAATAAATCACAAGAATTTTTTTAATACATGCTGATAAAAGACATACTACAATATCAGTACATTGAATGAATGTTAATCGTAATATAAAATCATCGCTAAACTTACTACTGAAGTAGCAATTTACGTTATTTTTTATAATGAACGTTTCATTCGGGTTCAATGTAAAATTCGCGTACAAAAAAAGGCAGTTTATGCTTATAAGCCACTCCAGTTCCTTAGATTATGACACCAATGCGATTACATAGGTTAAGAGGTTTTTTAGTTAAATCTAAAGACCCTTTAATAGTTGTTCTGGAAAATTGTTTATTTCCATGGGATCCCACCATCAAATTTATCGTTAAAAATTAGAGGGGTGTGGTAACGTTATCATTGTTGGATATACATAATTATGTCTAAACATACATATCTCAATACCTAAATTCAAAATTTTACTATTTCATGTTTAAATGTTGAATTCTGCTTAAGCCGGTGCTAGGGGGCGTGGACGGTAACTTGCACTTTCCAGTACCGTCCATGAACAGGCTCAATCAAACCGAGCCTGCAACATTTTCAATTTTGTCGTGTTGGGCTTTCTTTAGGGGATCTGTTTTTATCTATTTTAATCAGTCTTTACATAGTTAAATATATATTCTGTAAAAGATCTATTTCAAAACAATATACTTTTAATAGCTAATATCATCATTTGAATGTAACTTGACAATCCTATGTTAATGTATTCGGGTATCACGCTGATATTATGAAAACTTTAGAGGTCAAATTAGTACAAGAACGACGGCTCTTGTTATCATTTAAAGTAAAGCCAATATTCAAATATAACATGATCTGATAAATCTAGTACATCTTTGAATTTTACGGTTTTAAAACGATATTGAAGCCTAGGCACATAAAGATTTGCTTTGTTCATCTAATGTGTAAATTGTACCTATTAACCCTTATATCTGTTGGGGCCTTTAAATGTGATAGAAGTACAATAATAAAGTATTGTTTGTACACTATACGCTGAAAAGCGTTATGCTTACGGAGTGGCGATATTTAAATGGAGTATGAATAGTTATACAGTCTTAAACGTAAAGTCTATTGTTTTTCTAAGTAATTTATTACTGTTTTAAATAGCCCATATTGACAACACGTGATTCTATTACATGTATAATTAGTGTGATTTTTGTTGTAAAAATACAATAGAACTAGATAGTCGTAGTATTTAGTGTAAATTGTAAAAGGGTCAACAAAGTACTGAAGTATATCTTCAAGTTTAACTAACTGTCACGCAATAGTTTAAACCGGTACATTGTATAACAGAAGGTATTTTGAAAGTTACGTTTTGATGTCTTTCAGTACAAAGGGCGAGAAGGTGAACATGGTGCCGAAAGGTGTATCAAGTGCAGGCCATGTCCAAAAGGAACATACTCCAGCAGCGGGTACGGCGAATGTTCAAGATGCCGCTTGAATTGCGCAGAATTTCACAGGGAAGTGTCCGAGCCTTGCTCGAGTCAGCACGATGCTATATGCGGTAGTTGTTTGACTGGGTAAATATGTTAGACAAGTTCGTTATTAGTACATACAATTGGTCAAATGTATTACATGTTTAAACGTATTTTCAGGTTGTAAACGTGGACTGTTCAGTACTTGTTAAACTTTATAAAAAATAAAATAACGTACGATTTGTCATTTACGGTGTATTTGATTCTGTTGTATAAGAACGTACATGTTAATTAAAATCGTAAAGGCATATTATGCCTCAGAAATCCATATTCAAACAAACTTTTGAAATGTTAAACATATGTTTGATAATGTATTTAGAGCATGTTAGATGTTTAACAGCTGAGGAAAGTAACGCTGAATGCACACTTATGTGTCGTAAACGTAGCAAAATATAAACAAAGTAGTATTTTGACTTCCCTTTATACCAAATGTCCACAAGGCAAAAGGAGCAAATATAATTCATTCTTATGACAAAATGAGCATGGTTTTATGTTTTATGAAACTGTAATAAGATACAACAGTCAAAGAAAATTGTTCGAGAAATAAAAATTATAGCATTTCTGATCTTTAAGGGGCATTTTAAAAAGGAAACCATGAATATATTTTGACTTTTTGATTTTTAGGTATTTTGACATGTATAAGAACACCCTGTTTCCATGTGCGCCTAACTCGGAGAGAGTATCTAACATGCAAAAAGAGCCACGTTTACTACCACCTCGAAAGAAGGAAGACGACAAGGTACCTGATAAGAAAGTTGAGGTCCAGGACACAAACCATGTAGACAGAGACAATGAAGTTGACAAGGACACAGATATTGGCCAGTCTGATGAATTTTCAGCCATAGGTTTGTTTTTCTCTTTTTTCTTTTGACTTCTTGAATACTAGAAAAACGATTTTAATGTTTGTCATATGGTTTCTCGAGGTGTGAAGAATGGTCCGGGCCTATTATAATTTTAACCTACTTTAACAACAAACAGTATGGGTTCAAGATGAGAAAGCTAAGAGTCAACTTTATTGTACGCGCTGTATCCAACAAACCAGTCACAATTTTATTTAGTTTCAAGATTAGGATTTTGATGGTCATAGTGAAAAAAAATTTTTTTTGTCATTTGTTACCATGAAAATCAATTAAGCTACTGTTTTTTGCAGAAGGAGAAACAGAGCCGACGTCCACCATTTATGTAGTTATAGGTGCGTTTGTGTTCGCTGTTTGCGTAGTAGGTCTGCTAGCGGGATTCCTGCTGAAACGAAGGGGAATTAGTAGACCTAGGAGTGGAATATTGAGTACAAGTCCTCCGGTTTTTAATGGTAACTTATTAAATTATTAAAAATACTATAATTATTAAGTGTTTAGTTAAAAAATTCACGCATCTTTTTTATACAAAAGTAATTTAATAATTGACGAAATATTATTGTTATAAAATGTGTTTTATCTCTCTAAATTATATTCGTTAGGCAATCTCTGAATGAAATTTGTTCACGTATACCTTATGTGATTAAATAAACTCATGAAAAAAATTAATTTTATTCCTATATAGTAATAAATATACAGTAATAAACAATATCGTGAACTTCATTTGATTTTAGTTTCTGGGCATGCCCCAAGCCGTTATAGCAGAGTACCTAGACAGGACTTATCGCACGATAATGATATTGAAATGGACACCCTGGCACACACCGGTCAAAGTGATGCATCTTTGTACCTACAATCAGAAGAGACACATTTCCAGATGACGCCTGTAAGAGCCGAACTTCCCTTACCGATAGATCAACAAGTAAGGCCAGAACTCTCTCAACAATGTCCGACAAATCATTTGGACGCATTGGGTAAGTTTGATCAAAATGTGTTGTCATGTTTTTACAAAATATAAATAATACGTACATAAACATATGTAAGTTAGAGTTTACCCTAATGGGAAATTATAAATTTTAGAGTTGATTTTAATTTTTTAAACAACTTTAAATACTTAAAGACTTTTTTTTCAAATTTGCTAATGGCATATTGTATTAATGTACTCATTGACGTTTTTGACAGGCTATGTAAATGAATGAAAAAAGTCTTTGATTTTGAAACTGGTGTCTGAGCATAATTATGTTGATGTTTTAGTTATAAGCTGTCTTGTTTTACCTTTTATTGTTAACAATGGTGCCAAAATTAAATCTTATATTAGACATAGATCTTAGATTTTGCTTCACAAATATTTGCCACGCTGTTGATACTAAGCGCAGTTGTTTACACAACATAATCATATCAAAGATTGAAACATAGAGCGTTAATATATAAATGACAGGAAGTAAAATGTTGAATATAATGAGAGAAAAAACAGCATGTATAATTATGTTGTGTACATATATGATAAATACATATGTGTACTGTCTTTTAAGTGTAATGTTTTATATGATTCTTTATCCTGTTTTATATGTAAATATGTTTCTTTTTTTGCAGTTAACCCTGAACAGGCTGGAAGAATAAAGTCCTGGAATGTGAAACGCAAAGACATTTGCAAATGTATATCAGCCAGACAGTGTAAATGCAGTGAATTCACATTTCCAGAGGATATTCATATAGACAAATCTGATAAATATACCCTAGAAGTTGCAACAAACATTTGTCATGATCCATTCCCATTGTTTGACAGTCTAGGTCTATCGGACGCTGTTATATACCAGGAAAATAGCACACGGGAAATAGACCCGGAAAAGATATCGCAGAAGACTTTAGTTATTAATTTATTACATAAGTGGGTAGAACTTAAAACCACACCGACTACATTAAGACAATTATCATTATCACTATGTGCAGCCAATTTTCATAGTATAAATGAGAAACTATATAATTTAATTATTAGTAATGATTCGTCATAGCTATGTATGCGTGTTTTATTTAATTTTAGTATTCTGCTTTTATAATGAAATGTTTGATACAAATAAACTAATATTTATAATTCTTTGTTTGTGTTTTAATATTTTTGAATATTCTTTGCTATTTAAACATATCTAATGACAAATTCAATATTATAATGTTTTCCAAAACAGAGAAATATAGATAAAAGAGAAAAGAAAACATCAACTTTAACTTATTTTGGACTAGTGCGCTAAGGCCCTTGACCTTAATACCTCATAATAATATAAACATAAGATAATTATTATAGTTACGTTTACAAAGCACATATATAGAAACAAGGTGCCAGACCAGATAATTAATTAGATAGTATCTATCAAGTGTATTCTAATTTTGGCAAACATGTTTGTATAACTCGTATAGAATTTAATAACAATTATAAAATAAGGAGTTCCCTATCACTTTTAAAGAATACAGAGGGATTCTAATGCGAATGTAAACAAGTTATTTATATATTTGTGTACTATTATTATACAATTAAAATAAAAGCTGCAATATAAATACATAAACAAATGAATACTGATTAACAAAAGCAAGATCTATAATATATTGATATATGACGTAATAGTTTATTTGGCCAGCTGCCAAATTTGTAATAAGCCGTTTAATCAAAAACAAAATAACAAAAACAGAAGAAAAACCCAAACAAACACAACAGGACAAACTAATCAAAATAACAAACAAAAATGCGGAAACAGAATAAGCATTTAGATAAAAACAACTTCAGGACGTAAACATGTTCTAGTTAAACATTCAGAGTACTACATGTATCATATTACTAAAAGTGGATACGTATTTCAAATATCGATAAAAACGATAGTATTTTTTAAAGAAAATATTGTTTGAAAAAGACCATGAATTTCATACTTGGGAACTGCATATTAGTCATTCGTGATTTAATGTGTTGCCCATTTACTAAATACTAACAGAAAAGGCAGCTATAATACTATCGCTTACCGGTCCAAAATTAATCCAAAACGTCTGTAGGTACGCACTTTCGGTAGTTATTTGCACTAACTTTTTAAATTTCCTTACATTACATGTATACAAATGCTGACCCGGATTTACCTGATGCGTAATAAAAATTGAGCGAAGCTGGGTACCAGCGGGAACCGAGCACGCGTACCTTGAATATCCGGATCAGGATTTGTATACATGTACAATGTCGGGAAATTTAAAAAAGTTAGTGCAAATAACTACTGAAAGTGCGTACCTGTAGACGTTTTGGATTAACTTTGGACCGGTGAGCGATAGTATTATAGCTGCCTTTTCTGTTTCAACTGTTTGCATGCACTGACATTAGTTTGTTATTAAGAAAAAGATCGATTTATGTTCAAAATCGTCTACTTTCGACTCGGTCAAACGACAAAAAGTGCATTTTCGCTTTAAAATTCCATCTTTTGTCGTACCAACTGTTCTAATATTGTACATTTTTCGAAAGAGAAATCATTTCTGCGTAGATTGCACTTTATTTGGTGAAAATTGGTTGACAATTAACAAAGATCTGGGAGGTAACATAAGGCCTGGTTGTAGGTCCGCTGGCGCACCTTTCTACCTTTACTATATTTATAGTATATATGGATGAAATTCTTAAAAACAAATTTCCTTTGTTGGTTTATTGAAAATAAGATATTTTAAAAACATTTTGAATGAAAAAATATTTTATTAGTGAATAAAAAAAAAATTATAAAAAATAAGTGGGCGTGGTCATGTAAATGTATACTATCCATTGCCTGTGATTACGTGTAGTGTAGTTAAACCGGTGTGAACCAGTTTACAGATTATCCCTTCGTGTCGTCTGCTTTAATGTTATTTTGAAATATAGCAACCCTTCGATAGACATGGATTATACAAGAGTGGCAAATAGAAGTTGTTTATTAATTATAGTTTATATTATTTTTACATTTGATAGTCAGTTTGTAGAAACTTTAAAACTTGAAATAAAATGTTTAGCTTCTAGAAATGAAAAATGGAATAAGAATAAGAATATATGTGTCACGTGCAAAGATTGTAATCCTGGATCATTTAGGAATTTGAGCGAACCGGTAAGTGTTTTAATAATTATATTTTATTTATCAAAATTTAACATCAATATGCTATCAATATAATAAAATAATGTAATAGGAGATCTTTATTATACCTATGGAAATAAATTGTTAATTTACGTGGTTAAGTTTGCTGACGTAATAATCTTCGTCCATTGATAGTGCTGATTTCAAAATATACTTAATATCATATCGTACAAGTATAAATGAATGATACAGAAAAATGTCCTAAAGATATTAATAATTTGATTTGATAAAATATAAAGGGGTATTAAGCCATATCTAATTAAATAGTTTTCTATGATACACATGTATTTATACACAATAACAATATGATGTCCCCATAACGTTGATTATCAAAAGAGTGGTTGCATGAATATGGAATGGCGCTGTTATTCACAACACATTAATATTGTACGTTCTCTGCAACAAAATAGTATGTTGCTTTCTTTAAGGATAACGAATCCTTATATTCGGCTTTTCTGACAGTACTTTGAATTTTTTTCGACAGAGTTTAAAACATTTAATTATTTCCTAACCGTTGACCAATGTGTTACCTTGTAAATATACTAACGCTATGAAAATCTATGTCTATTCAAACTTATAACGGAGCAAGCATTCACAATTTTTTAAAATGTGTATAAATCTGGTATAAATTAATGAATAATAAAATAATTCGTGATAAAAACAAAATTTCCTTCCTACCCGACTTTATCAGTGAATATTCATTAATTATAAAATAATAATTTGGAATGTGGCCAAGGTACCTACAACATTCCAAGCCTTTTAACAGATACATGAAACCATACCCAAATATTTCATTAAATACAATAATGCATTAAAACAGTAAAAACAAACTGAAACGTATAGGTTTATACAACGATACCGCAATATTACGGAATGCCGTTAGGGCCATCGCCTATGAATGTGTTGATCTGAAACGCGATAGTCGATAGTACGATGGTGAAAACGCGAAATCACGAAACTACGATGGTGAAAACGCGAAAGTACGATGATGAAAACGCGATAGTACGATGATGAAAACGCGACAGTACGATACTACGATGATGAAAACGCGATAAACTATCGTGTTTTCACCATCGTACTGTCGCGTTTTCATCATCATAGTTTCGTGATTTCGCGTTTTCATCATCGTACTGTCGAGTATCGCGTTTCAGATCAAACCATTGATATGCGATGGCCCTAACGGCATTCCGGAATGCAGTTAGGGCCATCGCCTATGAATGTGTAAATCTGAAACGCGATATATAGTCGATAGTACGATGATGAAAACGCGAAATCACGAAACTACGATGGTGAAAACACGATAGTACGATGATGAAAACGCGATAGTACGATGATGAAAACGCGATAGTACGATGATGAAAACACGACAGTACGATGGTGAAAACGCGATAGTACGATGATGAAAACACGACAGTACGATGATGAAAACGCGATATCACGAAACTACGATGGTGAAAACGCGACAGTACGATGGTGAAAACACGATAGTTTATCGCGTTTTCATCATCGTAGTATCGTACTGTCGCGTTTTCATCATCGTACTTTCGCGTTTTCATCATCGTACTTTCGCGTTTTCACCATTGTAGTTTCGTTATTTCGCGTTTTCACCATCGTACTATCGACTATCGCGTTTCAGATCAACACATTCATAGGCAATGGCCCTAACGGCATTCCGTACAATATAGCACTACACTATATATAGTTTTAAGAAAATGTATGCACACAAGGGAAGTGTTTTAATGGCATACCATGATAAAAGCTAATATATATAATTTAAATTCAGATAACAATCTCTACTTGTCGAGTTAGGAGATTATTTTTCTGAATATTAGTTATATTATAATATAATCTGACATCACTATAGTGTTATTTGAACAGCATTTCGTTTCACTATTTGTTTTTTTGTTATCAGACTTTATGCGGTCAAAATAAGCTAAATTGACTATTTCAAAAGTTAGACTGTTATACTGGCGATTGGCAAACAGTTAATTAAATATAAAACGACTGTCATGCTTTTACAGGTATATCAGTACCCCGATGGATATAATCAGAAATGTTCTCGGGTCACATATATTAAGCTAGATCTGCAAAGTAAATTATAAAAATGAAAAATAATTATAATGGCAAAATGTTAACTTAATATGAAATTCGCAATTTCACTTAGGATGAATATCATGTCACTTTAAACAAAGTATTTTAACTGCGCAGTTATCGAAATAGAGAGATATGTTATAACTAGACGCTCCCCTTCACTATATTACTGACTCATTTCTCGAAACGGCCTTTTGTTACATGTATCATGCACGTCGTTTTCTTTTTTTCGTTACCGTTTATTCAATCTGCATACTTAACATTATTTTATTTTCTTCGTCAATAGTTGGCATGTTGTCAATTTTCTAAAAATGCAACGTTGAACATACTAGTGGCAATAAGTACATGATGATTTAGCCTATACATTAATAAAACATATAATAAAAGTCAGACTGGACAATATAAGCACATTATTACATTATGCATGCTACTTTAAAATTGTATATATTTTACAGTACAATGGACGAACAGGGGACAATGGAGACGAGCAATGTATACCGTGTAGTCCGTGTCCTGATGGAACTTTCTCGGAGAACGGACGAGGGGAGTGCTCACATTGTCGCACAAATTGTACGGAGATGAACAGAGAGTATGATTCAACTTGTTCGAAAACACAGGATGCCAAATGCCGGAACTGTTTGACAAAGTACTTTCTTTTCATTAGAGTTAAAAGATAAAAAAACGCGATATTTGTCTTTTAAACATTGTATAATTTTGATATATAAATGTGTCGATCACCTGAATCTCGTGAGTATACATGTCATGTTCTGATATTGTGTTGGGTTTCATTATACATAACATGTTCACACTTATGATGCTTTTGCTTTATGTATTGTGTAGCACGAATGTCTTATTTTAACTAAAGATTTAGTTTTATTGTCGTGTTGCTTTTTTTATTTTTGATATTTACTCTGGTATTTTATGGGTTACATCTGTGGATGTTTCTAAATTTAAAATTCCACCATTACCTATTATAGATGTTAAATTCTGATTAAGCCGGTGTTTGGGGGGGGGGGGGTGGACGGTAACTTTCACTTTTCATTACCGTCCATGAACAGGCTCAATCAAACCGAGTCTGAAACATTTTCAATTTAGTCGTTTTGTGCGTTCTTTCGTGATCTTTTATTGTTCTCTGTTTAACCTGGTGAAACGCAGCCCACTAATTTCGGGGTTGAGAGAAAGAAACATGAAGTACCAGGTCAAAGTCCCCTATCTTTCTTTTAATTCTTTTTTCTTGTGCTTGCGCGTTCTAAAATCATTGTCCATATTCTTTTTCAGTTATGAAGATACTTACGGGCATTTTCTTTTCCCATGTAGCCCGAAAAAAGAACATAAGGAACTTATTCCGCCGAAGGGAGAGACGCCTATCCGTCCGGATAATGGAGAGAAAGAAACTGCTGGAGATAATCCTATAGATTCAACAGGTATATCTCTCCTTTTGTAATGCCGGGCCGTCTTTGGATAAAAAACTGAACGCCATGATTTTAAAGTTAATGGTTATCTGATTATCCTATTCGTAGACTTTGCCTTCTTTAATATAAATACCTTCTGTGATTCTTGTTGTATAATTATCACCATTAATAAGTGACGTATTTACCGCCTCCGTGGTCGAAAAGTTGGAGTCGATGACTTCTAATCAAGTTACCTCTCTGGCGTGGGTTCGATCTCCGGGAGATGCTTTGGTGGTTTAGCACAGAGGAAGGTAGTCTAGTACTGGTGTAAACTTTCGCAAGGAACGATGGTTGGGGAAACTGGCCCGGTTTCCTATATGACTGAAAAAATCTGTTGGGAAAAAGGCGTTAAAATGAAACAAACAAACAAACAAAAGTTGGGTTTTGGGGTTGGGGTTTTTGTTTTGGGCAGAAGGAAAACCCAGAGTCCCAGACGACGATTTTTTTGATGGTGTTAGGTTGCGTATCTGTTTGTTCGCTGTTGCCTTTAGTAGTTTTCTGCTAGCGGGATTCCTGCTAAAACGGTAAGGGGGCATCAGTGACCCCTAGGAAGATGGAATATTGAGTGTAAAAGAGATCCAGTTTTAAAATGGTAACTAATTAAATTGTTAAAAATACTATAATATATTAAAGTGGTTTAGTTAAAAAATTCATGCATCTTTTTTATACAAAAGTAATTTAATAATTGACGAAATAATATTGTTTATAAAATGTGTTTTAAAATCTCTCTAAATTATATTCGTTAGGGCAATCCTCTGAATGAAATGTGTTCACGTATACCTTATGTGATTAAATAAACTCATGAAAAAAATTTAATGTTAATTCCTTATAGTAATAAATATACACTAAAACCATAACGTGAATTTCATTAAAAAAATTTTTGATAGTTGTTTCAGGGCATGCTCCCAGTTATTATAGCAGAGTACCTAGGACATGACTTATCGCACGATAATGGATATTGGAAATGGACACCCCTGGCACACTCCGGGGTCAAAGTGATGCATCCTTTGTACCTACAATAAGAAAGAGACACAATTTTCAGACGACGACCTGTAAAAGCCGAACTTCCTTACCGATAGATCAACAAGTAAGGGGCAGAACTCTCTCAACCATGTCCGACAAATCAGTTGGACGCATTGGGTAAGTTTAGCAAAATATAAAAAATATGGAAAATAAACATATGTAAGTTAGAGTATTCCTAATGTGAAATTAATAACTTTTAGAATTTTGATATTTAAATTTTTAACAACTTGTTTTATATCCTATTTTTTTTTAAAAATTTAATCTAATGGCATATTGTGTAAATGTTTTCATTTGGGCGTTTTTGACAGGCTATTAAAAATTTATGAATGAAAAATAGTCCTTGGATTTTGAAAACTGGTTGTCTGCGCATAATTATATTGATGATTTAGTTATAAGCTGTCCTTGTTTTACCTTTTATTGTTAACAATGGTGCCAAAATTAAATCTTATATTTGATAATATAGATCTTAGTTTTTGCTCCACAAAATATTTTGCCAAACGCTGTTGATACTAAGTGCACTTGTTTACACAACATAAATTATATCAAAGATTATATTCGTTAGGCAAATCTCTAAATGAAAATGTGTTTCACGTATACCTTATGAGATTAAATAAACTCATGCAATTTTTTTAATGTTTATTCCTTTATAGTAATAAATTAAATACAGTAATAAACCATAACGTGAATTTCATTAAAAACATTTTATTGTTGTTTTCAGGGCATGCTCCCAGTTGTTATAGCAGTTAGTTACCTAGAACATGACTTATCGCACCGATAATGATATTGAAATGGACACCCTGGCACACACCGATCAAAGTGATGCATCTTTGTACCTACGATCAGAAGAGACACATTTCCAGATAACGCCTGTAAGACCCGAACTTCCCTTACCGATAGATCAACAAGTAAGGGCAGAACTCTCTCAACAATGTCCGACAAATCATTTGGACGCATTGGGTAAGTTACAAAATATAAATAATATGGAAATAAACATATGTAAGTTAGAGTATACCTTAATGTGAAGTTAAAACTTTTAGAATTGATTTTTATTTTTTAAACAACTTTAAATACTTTTTTTTCAAATTTGCTAATGGCATATTGTATTAATGTACTCATTGACGTTTTTGACAGGCTATGTAAATGAATGAAAAATAGTCTTGGATTTTGAAACTGGTGTCTGCGCATAATTATATTGATGATTTAGTTATAAGCTGTCTTGTTTTACCTTTTATTGTTAACAATGGTGCCAAAATTAAAATCTTATATTTGATATAGATCTTAGTTTTTGCTTCACAAATATTTGCCACGCTGTTGATACTAAGTGCAGTTGTTTACACAACATAATCATATCAAAGATTGAAACATATAGCGTTAATATATAAATGACAGGAAGTAAATTGGTGAATCTAATGGAATAAACTCACACACAAAAACATGTATAATTATGTTGTGTAGTGGTATGATAAGTACATATGTGTACTGTCTTTTACGTGTTATGTTTTATATGATTCTTTATCCTGTTTTTATAAGTAAATTTGTTCTTTTTTTGCAGTAAACTCCGAACAGGCTGGAAGAATAAAATCCTGGAATGAGAAACGCAAAGACATTTGCAAATGCAGATTACCCAATCAGTGTAAATGCAGTAAAATTCACATTTCCAGAAGATATTCATATAGACAAATCTGATAAATATATCCTAGAAGTTTGCAACAAACATATGTCATGAACCAATCCCATTGTTCGAAAGTCTAGGTCTATCGGGATGCTGTTATATTACCAGGAGAGCAACACACGGACATAGACCGGAAAAGATATCTCAGAAAACTTTAGTTATTAATTTATTACATAAGTGGGTAGAACTTAAAACCACACCCACTACATTAAGACAATTATCATTATCACTATGTGCAGCCAATTTTCATAGTATAAATGAGAAAACTATATAATTTTAATTATTAGTAATGATTCGTCATAGCTGTATATGTGTGTTTGATGTAATTTTAGTAAAATTTTGCTTTTATAATGAAACGTTTGATGCAAATAAACTAATATTTATATTTGTTTGTTTGTGTTTTAATATTTTTAAATATTCTTTGCTTTTTAAACATATCTAATGACAAATTCAATATGATAACGATTTCCAAAATAGAGAAATATAGATGAAAGAGAAAGGAAAACATCAACTTTATAATATTTTGGACTAGAGCGCTAAGGCCCTTGACATTAATACCTCATAACAATATAAACATACGATAATTATCATAGTTACGTGTACAAAGCACATATATAGAAACAAAGTGCCATTTTAGATAGTATCTATCAAGTATATTCTAATTTTGGCAAATGTGTTTGTATAACGCGTATAAAATTTAATAAAATGATATAATTAGTAGTTCCCTATCACTTTTAAAAGAATACAGAGGGATTCTAATGCGAATATAAACAAGTTATTTATAAAGTTGTGTACTATTATTATACAATAGAAATAAAAGCTGCTAATCATAAATACATAAACAAATGAAATATTGATTAACAAAAGCAAGATCTATAATATATTGATATATGACGTAATAGTTTATTTGGCCAGCAGCCAAATTTGTAATAAGCTGTTTTCTGAATTTAGAAACTCAAAAACAAAATAACAACAACAGAAGAAAAACCCAAACAAACACAACAGGACAAAATAATCAAAATAACAAACAAGACGTAAACATGTTCTAGTTAAACATTCAGAGTACTACATGTATCATATTACTAAAAGTGGTACGTATTTCAAATATCGATAAAAACGATAGAAATGTATCATTTAGATATTTTAACAAAAATAAAATATTGCTCGAAAAAGACCACGAATTTCATACTTGAGAACTGCATATAACTCATTCGTGCTTTAATGTTTTGTCGATTTACAAAATACTTTTCAATATATTTCATTAAAGACCAATGTGCTGTTCACAAGATTATCTATAATATATAAATGTACAATTCATATATTTTAAGCATAATGTTCATATTTAGGCAATTCATAAAAAACTAAGATAGTTGGTTAATACAAGTCTTATGACGTGTTCGCGGTGTTGTATATATAAAGAAGTAGAAATACTTAAACGAAATATTTCTTTATTTTGTGATTCAAATATAAATTTAAAGTTTCAAATATTAAGTTTTTGTGCGTTTTTACTGAACAAGTACTTTTTATTATCTACACTAATTTACACGTACTGCACTAACGTAACATAAACACTTTGACATTGAATGACTTTGTGGCTTTGAGTTGTTCTATAAATAGACATGACTTCATCTAGAGGATTTAAACCTTTTCATCCCGATAGGTTTATTACATTGTCCGATGTCTGAAAAACACCATTTGTAACGATGGGCATTCAAACCGATATTTAAAACTATTAATTATGTTAATCTAGTACTTATTAATCTTCATACCGGGTTAAATTTTACTTCATTCATAAAACTTTAACTTAACAGTCATTCGGTGTAGTGTAGTAAACCGGTGTGAACCAGTTACAGACTATCCCTACTATCATTTTCGTGTCGTCTGCTTTAATGTTATTTTGAAATATATCAACCCTTCGATAAACATGGATTATACAAAAGTGTCAAAGAAACATTGTTTATTAATTATACTTTATTTTATTTTTACATTTAATAGTCAGTTTGTAGAAACTTTAAAACTTGAAATAAAATGTTTAGCTTCTAGAAATGAGAAGTGGAATAAGAATAAAAATATTTGTGTCACGTGCAAAGATTGTTATCCTGGGTCCTTCAGGAATTTAAGCGAACCGGTAAGTGTTTTAATAATTATATTTAATTTATAAAAAAATAACACAAATATGCTATCAATATAATTAAATAATGTCATAGAAGATCTTTATTATACCTATGAAATTAAATTGTTAATTTACGTGTTTAAGTTTGCTGACGTAATAATCTTCGTCCGTCGAAAGTGCTGATTTCAAAATATACTCAATATCATATCGTACAAGTATGAGTGAATGATACAGATAAAATGTCCTAAAGATATTAATAATTTGATTTGATAAAATGATAAGGGATATAAAGCTATATCTAAAACCAAATAGTGTTTCTGTGATACACACGTATAAATTATAAACAATAACAATATGATGTCATAATAAAAAAAGTGGTTACATGGAATGGCGCTGTTACTCACAACACATTAATATTGTAGGCCTACGTTCTCTGTATGTTGCTTTCTTTAAGGATAACGAATCCTTATATTCGGCTTTTCTGACAGTACTTTAAATTTTTTCGACAGAGTTTAAGACATTTACTTATTTCTTAACCGTTGACCAATGTGTTGCCTTGTAAATATACTAACACTATGAAAATCTAGGTCTGTTCAAACATATAACGGAGCAAGCACTCACAAAATTTTTAATTTGTATAAGTCTGATATAAATTAATGTATAATAAAAGAATTCTTGATAAAAACAAAATTTCCTCCCTACCCGACTTTATCAGTGAATATTTATAATTATAAAATAATAATTTGGAATGTGGCCAAGGTATCATTTTGCACTGCGAACGAAAAGCCTTTAAATACATGAATATACGCAAATATTTCATTACATACAATACTGCATTAAAGCAATAAAAACAAAATGAAACGTATAGGTTTATACAGCGATACCGCAATATAACACTACACTATAGTTTTAAGAAACTTTTATGCACACAAGGGGAGTGTTTTAATGGCATACCATGATAACAGTTAATGTAAGTTTTGATACAGATAACAAGGAGATTATTTTTCTGAATATTAGTTATATTATAATATAATCTGACATCACTATAGTGTTATTTGAACAGCATTTCGTTTTATTTTTTTATATATTTTTTTGGTTATCAGACTTTATGCGGTCAGGTTAAGCTAGATTGACTATCTATTTCAAAAGATTGACTGTTATACTTGCGATTGACCAACAGTTAATTAAATATAAAACGGCTAAACAGCTTTTATAATCACGCGTTACAGGTATATCAGTATCCCGATGGATATTGTTAGAAATGTTCTCGGGTCACATGAGCTATTTACCGTTCTCGCAAAGTAATTTATAGAATGAAAAATAATTATAATGGCAAAATGTTAACTTAATATGAAATTCGCAATTTCACTTAGGATGAATATCATGTCACTTTAAACAAAGTATTTTAACTGCGCAGTTATCGAAATAGAGAGATATGTTATAACTAGACGCTCCCCTTCACTATATTACTGACTCATTTCTCGAGACGGCCTTTTGTTATCATGCACGTCGTTTTTTACGTTACCGTTTATTCAATCGGCATACTTAACATTATTTTATTTTCTTCGTCAATAGTTGGCATGTTGTCAAATTTCTGAAAATGCAACGTTGAACATACACGTGGCAATAAGTACATGATCATTAAAATTTTTAACCTATATATTAATAAAACATATGATAAAAGTCAGACTGGACAATGTAAGCACACTATTACAATTCAATAATTTACTTTTTAGACGATGATTGTATCTTATCATTTTTAAATAATAATAACAATGATAATAATAATATCAATAATAAAACAACAACAACAGTATGAATTGATCAGTGCTCGTAGATTATATTCATATTCATATACATGTATTTACATGTATATTATAATAATCAAAATAGTTGTTTTTAGCTCGACTATTCGATAAGAATAAGTAGAGCTATTGCAGTCACCCGAGCGTCGGCGTCGGTGTCGGCGTCGGCGTCTGCGTCGGCGTAACCACTTATGTTAAAGTTTTTGTAATAGTTCAAATATTTTCAAAGTCCATTGACATATGGCTTTGAAACTTTGCACACTTGTTCACAATCATGACCCCAACCTGTAGACAGAAGGAGGTAACTCTATCAAGCATTTTGACAGAATTATGCCCCTTTTTCGACTTAGAATTTATGTTAAAGTTTTTGTAATACCTTAAATATTTTCCAAGTCCATTGACATATGGCTTTGAAACTTTGCACACTTGTTCACCATCATGACTCCAACTTGTAGACAGAAGGAGGTAACTCTATCAAGCATTTTGACAGAATTATGCCCCTTTTTCGACTTAGAATTTATGTTAAAGTTTTTGTAATACCTTAAATATTTTCCAAGTCCATTGACATATGGCTTTGAAACTTTGCACACTTGTTCACCATCATGACCCCAACTTGTAGACAGGAGAAGGTAACTCTATCAAGCATTTTGACAGAATTATGCTCCTTTTTCGACTTAGAATTTATGTTAAAGTTTTTGTAATACCTCAAATATTTTCAAAGTTCATTGACATATGGCTTTGAAACTTTGCACACTTGTTTACCATCATTACCCCAACCTGTAAACAGGAGGAGGTAACTGTATCAAGCTTTTTTTTTTACTATCAAGCACTTAGAATATTCGAGCGTTGCTGTCCTACCAACAGCTCTTGTTACTTCAAAATATTCTTATTTGTATTTTTACCATTCCGAAAGTTTAATAACAGTTGTTTATTACCATGAAATGCAGTCATGTAGAAAACAAAACAAAAATGGCTTTTAAATAAATAAAACCGATTTAATAATCAGATTTAAAATCGACAAATTTTCGATACATAAACGTTAAGCATTTTATATTTTATAATATTATTACACTAATAAAATATGAAAGACATAAAATCATAATTTGCATAGTAGTTCGAAATTTAAAAACTCGGTCAATCACCGTTTCATAAAATAAGGCCCAACTGGACTATAAAAGCCAGCAGATGGCGCTAGGGCAGGTTTCTTATTAATTTTATGCATGCTTCACTTCAGGGACCCTTTTTCAAAGATTTAAGATTAATTACCAAATGCATTTAAACAACACTTGGCATGTATGTAGGCATAGATATTCTTGATATAGATTGACAAAAATTATTCAAAATAAAACTTTGTTAAGTGTGTTTCTGGAAAAAAATACTGGCTGTCAAATTTGAAATTTGAATTTCCATGGGAGGAGCCAACTGATCATTACAGGTCATGAACCTTCAGTAGTAAACAGATGCACGTGGCAGTGTTTATTTCAGTGAGAGAGATTTGTAGCAGACGATATATATTTCAGGGAGGGAGATTTTCAGCAGACGACACATTCGAATGCTGAATACATGATAAGAAAAAACAATAACTTTTACTGATCTTACTTTATCAAAAAGTATTTATATCCAACAAATTTACAATAATCAATTAATCTATGATATTTTTTTAATTTCAAAGTACTGATTAAACTTGTATTTAAATGGTTTAAACTTCATGAAAACAGTAAAAGTAACTTCCAGGTATATTTCATTTACACTATATTTTGTTGTAAATATCTTGTAGTCAAAATTACATTTCACAAATGTTTATCATTTGTATAAAATTTTTATATATTAATAGTTTAAAAATATTTTAAATTCCTGTCAAGATCATTTTTAACAGTTTTTCTTAAAAGAAATGTCCCATGTACGGCACATCCTTTGGATTTGGATATAGTTGTCTGACTTGATGAAAAACAACTGACTTCAAAATAATATCTGGACAAGATGGCTTGATAATGTCTTTTAATTAATCTGATTAATCTGTGAGTTATATAAAACATCCATTAAACCTCTCCTGTGTAAAATCAGCTGTATTGTTTACATTCTCTCTGTAGGTTAACACTGCATTCTATTTTTAGCTCATGGTTTATAACAGACAGTTTTACATCACTGATTAGTCACACCCACAAATACTCGCTGCCGCGGCAGCGAATGTTGCCCCTTTAAATCTGGCTATGGTAAAATATTGGTAATAGATATATTTGAGGACTCGATACACTATTCGATACGGTATCTACACTACACGCATCTTATGTGTTATCTGTACACAGAAAGGAGTGCTTACAGATAATATCCAACAATTATACCCAACATTCTCGTAGTTCATACGGTGCAATACTGCTCTGCCAAGTGACCTCATGTGTATTTATATATCTTTTACATGCAACGTTAAATGAGTCAAAGTCAGTACAATTATGATTAGTTTTTAAAATACATCCGCCAATCAAAATCAATTAAATAATGTACATTGTCAATTTTGTACTTTCGGTTTCTAAAATATAAAAGTAAGTATAAAATAATGCATTTTTGTGCCCCCACGTTAGTGGCGGGCATTTAGATTTACCCTTGTCCGTCCGTCCGTCCGTCCTTCCGTCCGTCCTTCCGTCCGTCCGTTCACTTTTGTGTCGCACGTAACTCAAAAAGTATTTGACCTAGAGTCATGAAACTTTACAGGAATGTTGATCAGCATGTGTAGTTGTGCACCTGGGTATTTTCGTCTGGATATTTTTAGTATTTTCAGAGTTATTGCCACTGACTTAGTAAAACTTTGCAATTTTCAACTTGTGTCGCATGTAACTCAAAAAGTATTTGACCTAGAGTCATGAAACTTTACAGGAATGTTGATCAGCATGTGTAGTTGTGCACCTGGGTATTTTCATGTGGATATTTTTAGTATTTTCAGAGTTATTGCCCTTGACTTAGTAAAATTTTGCAATTTTCAACTTGTGTCGCATGTAACTCAAAAAGTATTTGACCTAGTGTCATGAAACTTTACAGGAATGTTAATCAGCATGTGTAGTTGTGCACCTGGGTATTTTTGTCTGGATTGTTTTAGTATTTTCGGAGTTATTGCCCTTGACTTAGTAAAATTTTGCAATTTTCAACTTGTGTCGCATGTAACTCCAAAAGTATTTGACCTAGAGGCATGAAACTTTACAGGAATGTTGATCAGCATGTGTTGTTGTGCACCAGGTATTTTTGTCGTGATTTATTTAGTATTTTTAGAGTTATTGCCCTTCACTTAGAAATTTTTTGCAATTTTCAACTTGTGTCGCAAGTTACTCAAAAAAGGATTTTACATAGTCATTAAACCTTATGGGTAGCTTGCTCAGCATATTTAGATTTGCACCTTGGGTTTCGCTTGTGGATTTATCCAGTATTTGTAGAGTTATTTCCCTTGACTTAGTAAAAAGATTGACAGAACAGTGGCGCGGTGGGGGCACCCGTGTCCTATGGACACATTTCTAGTTTAAATTGTATATCGATAAATTTACTTATTTAAGTGGACTTGTACACTCAACAAACCTCACCATTTACATACTATTTTTTTAGCGTAGTTCAAGTACCATATTAGACGATTGACGGAAAGGGTCGGAAATTTACGAATTGTTAATGATTATTACGCATGAACGAAGGGAATTCTATGAAAGTGTTATCATTAAAACATATTTACGCAATAATTCAGTGAATGCTCACTTTACAATTGTATCTATTTTTACAGTACAATGGACGAACAGGGGACTATGGAGACGAGCAATGTATACCGTGTAGTCCGTGTCCTGATGGAACTTTCTCGGAGAACGGACGAGGGGAGTGTTCTCATTGTCGCACAAATTGTACGGATATGAACAGAGAGTATGATTCAACGTGTTCCAAAACACAGGATTCCAAATGCGGGAGCTGCTTGACAAAGTACTTTCTTTTCATTAGAGTTAAAAGATAAAAACGCGTGTTTCATTATACATTACATGTGCACACTTATGATGCTTTTGCTTCATGCATTGTGTAGCAAGAATTTCTTATTTATACTAAAGATTTAGTTTTATTGTCGTTTTTCTTTTTTTATTTTTGATATTTACTCTGGTATTTATTTTATGGATTACATCTGTGGATGTTTCTAAATTCAAAATTCCATCATTACCTATTAAAGATGTTAAATTCCGGTGTTAGGGGGCGTGGACGGTAACTTTCACTTTTCATTACCGTCCATGAACAGGCTCAATCAAACCGAGTCTGCAACTCAATTTAGTCGTTTTGTGCGTTCTTTAGGGATTCTTAATTTTTCTCTGTTTTACCTGGTGAAAGATAACCCCCTAATTACGGGGTTGAGAGAAAGAAACCTGAAGTACCAGGCCAATGTCCCCTCTCTTTCCTTTAATTCTTTTTTTCTTGTGCATGTGCGTTCTAAAATAATTGTCCATATTCTTTTACAGTTATGAAGATACTTACGGGCATTTTCTTTTCCCATGTAGCCCGAAAAAAGTGCATAAGGAACTTATTCCGCCGAAGGGAGAGAAGCCTATCCGCCCGGATGGAGAGACAGAAATTGCTGGAGATACTCCTAAAGATTCAATAGGTATTTCTCACTAACCAGATAGAAAAATCCTTAAATGTTACTAAAAATAGCGGTGTTGGAAAATCTTATCTCACATGGGCTTATCTCACACTCAACGTGCAGCACTTTTAAATAATACGCGATTCACTCCTATTTTAATAAAAATGAAACGTCAAAAGGTCAAAATGTATTAAATATTTGTGAGCTAATCTATTAAATTGTCTACGGAATCAAAATAGATTGATATTAACTTTCACACTGCAATGAGTCCTACTCTACCTAGATCCGCCCTTTTCAGTAACGATCTGTTACTAAAAATAGCACACTTTAAAATATCGAAACTTTCTTCGTAAAATCGGATATTATGACACTTTGCCTGAAAAACATTCATGTTTTTTTGTAATGATAACGATGCTTCTTGATGACGAATCTCCCTTTAATGAATTTCAACCAAAATAACTGAATCAGAAAAATCTACGCAAATGGTAAGACGCTTTTTGTCAACCATTGAAGTATGGACTGAATTCGTTATAAACACTAATATTATGGCACTTTCCGTTTTTAATATCGATGTGTTTTATCATGATAACCTTGCTTTTTGATGAGGGATCTTATATGAATTTATTCTTATTAAATTTTTCACACATAAACTTGGTCAGCAGAATTTTTTGCGGACGTACATAATGCTTTTTAATCCTAAGCCCCGCCCCCTTTTCAAAACTAGGTACGTTGTAATGCGCGTAGCAAGTAAATTCACTGATATTTGTGTGTCCGGGTGAGTGAGAAAAATAATCAACCATTGGGTTAGCTAGAGGATAGGTAAATCCCAACCCTCGGGCAATCGGTTCCATCGGGAACTCGCCAAGGCTCGTTCCCGATGGAACCGATCACCCTCGGGTTGGGATTTCCCTATCCTCTATCAAACCCAATGATAGATTCTATTAATCTCTTCTCTTTTTAATGCCGAGCCGTCTTTGGATGTAAATCTAGTATTATAATAAAAAAATGAATGCCATGATTTTAAAGTTAATGGTTATCTGATTATCCTATTCGTAGACTTTGCCTTCTTAAATATTAATACATTCTGTGATTCTTGTTGTATAATTATCACCATTAATAAGTGACGTATTTTACCGCCTCCGTGGTCGAAAAGTTAGAGTCGATGAATTCTAATCCAATTACCTCTCTGGTGTGGGTTCGATGGTGGTTTAGCACGGAGGAAAGTAGTCTAGTACTGGTTTAACTCTCCAGGAACGATGGTTAGGAAACTACCCGCCTATATGAATGAAATACTGTTGGGAAAAGGCGTAAAATGAAACAAACAAACAAACAAACAAACAAGTGACGTATTTAGTTTAAACATATCTCATTTGTACATTTTTTATTTAAATATGATAAAGTACATAAAATAATTATACGGATCAGTGACGTAATTCGCACATGTACAAAGACCGTTTAGACACTTTGCTTTGTTTTAATATCTATATCGTGCCATTCTAATTCAATCGCCTTTTTTTCCAGTGGCCAAAACTTCTCCAAGTCCCAGTTTTTGGATACCTGTTGGCATTACTGGAATAGTTGTATCATTTATTGTGGTTGTAATTTTCGTAGGAAGAAAACTGAAATTAGCGACGCATAAAAGCGATTCTTCCGCCGAAGGTAACACATCATATTATTTTCGATAATTTCCTTAGAACAATTCTAGAAAGCCATGGTAAAAAGGAAACATGCTGATATATATGATAAATAAAAGTAAAATATCTGATGAATTGAGAAATCTTAATTGTGTTACATACATAACATAAACTGAAATTTGTTCTTCATCCATCTTTCAAGCCGAAACACCAGAAAATTTTCTCAACTGCATTTTGGCATACATACTTACAAATTAAATATTTCATATATATGTTTATCTATGACTCTAACTTACTTTCATTACTTTGTTTTGTTAATTTTCATTAATCATAGTCAGCCGCCACAAGGCAACACTTCTTTAGAGTCCTGATAATGAATTAATTTACATTCATAGGTGCACATGACTACACAGAGATAAATATTCTCCATGAGGGAACCATTCCAAAAGATGACACGGCCCTTCTTGATGGCGACATAGAAATTGACGCTGTCCAGGGAAAGTTGACAGGTTCAGCGTTTCTACATATACAAGGAATGACAATGTCCTTACAGAATTAGGAAATGGACAGCAGCCGTGTGCGAGACGGTTGTTCGCATTCCTTCATTGTCAACATGGACGGATAGTAAGAGCTCATTTTTTCTTCGGTCTTTTTGTTTTTTCTTCTTTCTCTTTTGGGTAAGCATATAATAATGGCAACTCGTAGTTAAAGAGTGGAAAACCCGCAGGCCGGCAATAAAAGTGTTTCTTAGCATCTCACGGTTAAATTTTAGAAAGTCTTTCACGCATTGATTATTAAAAAGCAATCACAAAAACTTACAACATTAATATTTTTTACAACGTTGTTTGTTGCGTGCTTTTCTTTATCGTAGTTGTATGTTAGAAACAATTACTAGATTTCTGTTGTAATATACTTGTATTTTTTACTATTTTTGTGTTATTCGCAATGACACTGTTGGCATTATGCCAATTATATTATTGTTGAATTAGACAAGGAATATAATTAATAATGAAAAGCTTATTAAAGAAGTATCTTATACACAAAAAGAGAAATGTTCTGCTTTTCTATTAGACTATTGTTATATTTTTTTTATCATCAGGTGTGCTTCAACTCTCCGATGGCCAGAATTGTGTCATTACAAATAGTCAAAGACTTCTGCGAATGTAAGGAACAACGATCTTGTGAATGCAAATCATTCTGTTTTCCAAATTTACAATTGGAGAAATCAGATGAATATATACTAATAACAGCCTCTGAATTTGCCATGAGTATAGTGAACTTTTCAAAAGCTTGTCTTACGCCTCCAGTCTTGTATCAGGAGAGCGATACAAGAGATCGAGATCCTGAAAAAATAACACAGAAAGAATTATTCACAAGACTTTTGAATATATGGATTGAAACTGAAGTTCGAGGAAGGCGACTCTAAAAACTTATCAATAGCGCTTTGTGAAGCAAAGTTTCACAAAATTAATAAATTACTTATAGATTTATATAGAAATAAGATACAATCTATTTTAAACACGCCTTCTCAATAATTATTGATCTTTATTAGACTAAGTATTAATTATTAATATTTATACATTATTATATTAAACGATTAAAACTTATTTGTTTTTTGAGAGATACTAGCTAATTGTTAAAGACATAATTAAACTGAATATTAATTATGTTTATGATGTTTCGTTAACATTTTCCATGTTATTGAATATTATTTTTAATGAAAATAATGTTGCGTTATATTTTTAAATCATTAAATATTTGTACTTGTATTTGATGAAAATAAACTGAAAAAATTGAAAAGTTGTTGATTTACCTTCAAATTTAATACGTTGCTTTGTATACAATATTGTACTCCGCTATGAACTAAATCATGCAATTAACTCGAGTCGCATGATTTGTTTGTTTGTCTTGGGTTTTACGTCACACCGATACAGTATAGGTCATTTGGCGGACGTTCCAGCTTTACTGGTGGAGGAAGACTTCGGGTGCCCTTCCGTGCATTATTACAGGCACGAACGGCACCTGAGTAGAACCACCGACGTACTGTAAGCTAGCTGGATAGTCGAGTCGCATGACCCGAAGTTAAACATATAAAGCTTCACATCTGCAATAAGTATTGTTTGAAATACACTTCCAAATTGACTGTAATAAGAAATATGTTAGTATTATTTTCTTAAAAGAAATGGTGACTGCACAAGATCATTGTTAAAATGATTAAACCCTACTGGAAATAGTAGTTTTCGTTCATTGTCCATGCGTGTTAAAAACAGATTCATTCTATGTTACAACGTTTTTAAC